ACCTCCCTAAAGTTAGCTGTGGGTCTGAACAGGTTACCCTTGATGGTTGCCTTCCAGGAAACCAGTGCTGTGCTATTCTGCAGCTTCTAAGTAGGTGATGCCCTGTGCCAAGAGACGCAAGAGTTGGGGGGTTTTTTCATTCCTGACAAAGTAGCAAGATTCATGTGCATCCTAGTCTCTTGTGATACGGAGTTCTAAAACCCAAGATCCTCTGCCTGGTACATTCTGCCCACTGCCTCCAAGAATTTTTCACTTTTTGGACTGGCAGCCTCAAAGCTTTCAAGGGTTAGTCCACATGGTACTTACAAAAGGGTGGGTTCATCTTAATATTCACATTAACACCTTTTCATAGCAAAGGATATGACCCATATAAAAATAGTCATGGAAGGAAAAATGCTGAAAGGACCACAAACAACAACTGCAACTAACAGACAGGCTATGCCAAAGTACTGTAACACCAACTGTCCTATTTAACAGTCCAAAAAAATGAAGAACATTCAGATCCAGGTTACCCCATGACCATACACTGCGTTTAAAAGCAACATTCAGCACTCAATAACACACACATTGTAAAGTCAGGTGCAACGATTTGAGAATGAACCATAGCCTTCAATATGACCTTTGGCATGCTGATCCTTTATTAAAGAACTACATTGCAGTAAGTTAAACTGTCTTTGGTATTTAATTGTAATTCAAAACAATTTATTTCAAAAGCTATGCAACAACCTCACTGCCATAACTAACAGTGCTTTTGAAAATTTGGCTTCTGTAGAAAACGCATTATCCTTTTAAAAATATTTATTAAATTAGTGGCCTAAAAATTTAAGTTAAACAAAATTTTAACAAAAGTATTTTAAAGTACCACTTGAACAAATTTTTATTCCGCTTTGCCACCCAAAATTCACCCAAAATCACAAGTGACAAAGTTATCATCCATTGTTGAGGGAGCTGGCAGGGGTTATTGCAGGGCCCTTGGCACAGCTTTACGAGCACTCGTAGTGCTCAGACCAGGTGCCAGATGATTGGAAGATAGCCAGCGTGGTCCCCATCTTTAAAAAAGGGAGGAGGGAGAACCTGGGCAACTATAGGCCCGTCAGTCTTACCTCAATCCTGGGGAAACTCTTTGAGAAGATCATCAAGGAGCACATCTGTGATGCTCCAGCATCGGGGATGATGCTCAAAGGCAACCAGCACAGTTTCATTAGGGGCAGGTCATGTCAGACCAACCTGATTGCCTTTTACGATCAGGTCACAAAAGCACTGGATGAAGGTGTTGCCATGGATTTAGTCTTTCTGGACTTCAGCAAGGCCTTTGACACTGTCTCCCACCCCATCCTCATTAAAAAACTAGGCGACTGTGGCATTGATGCCTACACAGTCAGATGGACTGCAAATTGGCTGAAGGGTCGTACTCAGAGGGTGGTGGTGGACAGGTCATATTCGACCTGGGGGGAAGTGGGCAGCGGAGTCCCCCAAGGCTTGGTCCTTGGGCCCACATTGTTCAATTTCTTTATCAGCGATTTGGACAACGGGGTGAAAAGCAACCTGTTTAAATTTGCTGATGATACCAAAATTTGGGGTGAGGTGGGCACACTAGTAGGGAGGGAAAGTTCTGCAGAAAGACCTGGATAGGTTGCAGGGGTGGGCTAACAAAAACAGGATGTGTTTCAATACAGACAAGTGCAGGGTGCTGCACTTGGGCAGTAGTAACCAGCAGCACACTTATAAGATGGGAAACTCCCTTCTTGCTACACGACACTGGTCAGGCTGCAGCTGGAGTACTGTGTCCAGTTCTGGGCACCCCACTTCAAGAGAGATGTGGACAACATTGAGAGGGTCCAGAGGAAGACCACCCGCCTGATCCGGGGACAGCAGGGCAGACCCTACAATGAGAGGCTACAGGACCTGAACCTGTTCAGCCTTCACAAGAGAAGGCTGAGGGGGGACCTGGTGACCATCTATAAACTCACTAGGGGGGACCAGAAGGGTTTGGGGGAGACCTTGTTTCCCCTAGCGCCCCCCAGGATAACAAGGAATAACGGCGACAAGTTGTTGGAGAGTAGGTTTAGATTAGACATCCGTAAGAACTACTTCACAGTCAGGGCGGCTAGGATCTGGAACCCACTTCCAAGGGTAGTGGTGCTGGCTCCTACCCCGGGAGTCTTTAAGAAGCGGCTTGATGCCTACCTGACTGGGGTCATTTGAGCCCAGTTTTCCTCCTGCCCAGGCAGGGGTCAGACTTGAAGATCTACAAGGTCCCTTCCGACCCTACTTCTATGATTCTATGAAGGCCCCCCTGCTCCTGCCTAGAGCAGTCTGTGCCACACTTGTCAGCACCCATCCCGTGGTACTGCTCAGCCCGCCCTGCCTCCAGCATCTTCACTCACCTGGCGCAATAAGCAACCACCTGTAGGCAGGCCACATGAGTGGAAGGCAGCCAGGAGCTGGATGCCCATGCACTGGGGCAGGAGTCAGTTGGCTGCAGCTTCCCCCCCACTTGGCTGGGCGTGTGATGCCTGGCCCACATCCCAGCAGCTTTTGCCACTTCCCCACAGTACCTGCTGCCCAAAGTGGCACACCAGGGGTAGGAGGAGGAGGAGCTGCTGCTGGAATCAGGGGGAACTGAGCAGTACCCAGGCACCTGCAGAAGCAGCAGCAGCCGCTATGTCTTCAGCCTGAGCCAGGACTGGGACCATCGGCAAGTGCAAGGCAGATGCTGGCAGGAGAATGCCACATGCTGACCTAGGCAGGAGTGGGCACGACTCGGCCCCATGCAGAGTGCCGCAGAGGCAGCCACGGGCCAGATAGGGAGGTGGACCAAACCTGCACTGCACCACCTGGGCAAGCTCTGCTGCATGCACCCCTGCCCCACTTCCCTCCTGTCCCCCACCCACAGCTGGCTCCTGGGACCTAGCACGTGGGCAGTCCCTCACACACATGCACATACCACCCCACATACCCCCTTCACCACCTCCCCCACACACAATATACAAAAGTAAGACTTTATTTTTAGCCATTATGCAATCACTTCCATATACATTACTCAAAAAAACATAAATCAGGACAGAAATTATTATTTTTTAAATAAAATTAAAATATGTTAAAGTAGATGTCTGATTTTTAGTAAATGATTTGTGGGGGGAGGTTTAATCAATTTATAGATAAAATTATATCTTCTGAAAGATTTTGTGTGCATGACCCTCAACAGTTCATCAAAACTCTTTAACTGGCCTGCCAGCCAAAATAATTGCCCACCCCAGCCTTAAGGTATGGGTAAATGAATAAATGAGTTAAAAAGGACATAGAATTTAACACGGAGTAGTAGCAAACACATAGACAGTTACCACTGAGCAATGGACTAGTGCCAAATAAAAGCTAACTCAAGAAAACTTAGTCCTCAACAAAACAGAGTTAAACTGCTTTGGTCAGTTTTTACTTAGGGCGCTGACAGAAGTGATGTTTTGTCACATGATCAGACCCCTAAAAGTGCTCTACCGCTGTGTCTTGGCAAAACTGCAAAGCTGCAGAATGCTTTAAAAGTGCCTGATCACACAACAAATTAACCCTCATTACATGAGGGTTCAGATAAAGGTGCTCCAAAGCAGAACGGCTTCATTAACTTGTCAGTCCCTGCCTGGGAAGCAAGGTTGGGCTGATGCAACCCAGCCCCACCCCCGGTGCTATCTTCAGGATGAGAGGGGGGAAGAAGGGCAGCTTGGTCTGGGGTTTGTCCAGCCTTTGCCAGAGGGAGGGGTGGGTGGATGGAGTACCCCCCGGGGGGCTCCAATCCACCTACTCTTCCCTCTGGCAAAGGCTGGACAAACCCCAGACCAAGTTCCCTCCCCTCCTTTCTCCCCCCTCTCATCTGGAAGACAATACCGGAACTGGGAGGATGGGGGGGCAGGGCTAGGGGAGAAAGGCTGCAGACATGCAGCCAGCTCCAAGCTGGAGCTCATTCCCCCAACCCCTTGGACCCAACAAAGAATGCCTGTTGGATCTGTAGGTCGGGGTGAGGGAGGGGGGGAAAGAATCATTGCAACTCATGGTGCTTCCTTTGAAGCGCCATGAGTTACAGTGGGGAGCTGCAAGTCTGTCAGTGCCCAGTGTTACTGTTCTTCAGCTGTCCTGTGGTTCTGTCAACTCAGGATTCTTTAACTCAATTCAATTTGTTCATATATCTAGAGTCTACACCCTTGTTATACCTGTATAAAGAAGGCATAGATATGTTATCTATGTGGGAAAAGTAAGGCAAAGCAGTTACATGCCTTGTCCAAAGTCCAGAAGCACAGCCTGGACCTAAATGAGAACTCAGGGCTTTCTGACTCTCTGACCTGTGCTTAGACTACTCCTATTCAGCAAATAATTGTGAACATGTAGATTTCTGCAAACATGACCAGACAATACTAGAATGATTTGCTATGGCCACCAACACAAATATAAATGAGATTCCAGAGGTGAAAATAGCAATAGCTGTGATCCTATTAAAAAGTTATTTTTTCATCTCGTGCTTCAGATTCCCAGAACTGTCACTGTTTGACAGTATGATTAAAGGCGACTGCACATCAACTCTAGTAAGTAATTTGTTGGATCCAATGCTCCTAAGGACATGCTCCAATCCCTAGCAGTGCTGGTCAAGATGACATTCAGTTCCAGCACACACAGTAGTGACCTTTATATTATTTGCGCCCAGGAGGAAGGAGTCGTCAAGCACTGCTACTAAAATGAAGAGCTTCTTGAGAGAACTCAGAAACAGAGATGTGTAAGTGATGAGATCTGCCTTCAGCACAATGTGAACAAGAGATTTTGAGCTGCCAAAAAACCTACATTCTTATTTAGAATAAAACTGTTAATCCCAATAGAAAAGAAAGGAAAACAAAAAGACAAATTACTGAATCTAGTAGACACAACAAATATAAACATGCAGGGTTTATGCATTTCAAGATACATCCCCCTTGACCCGAGTCTTGAAAATGAGAACAAAATGTTTACTTGCTTCTTACCTTTTTCTCTTATACATGTGTTAAGAAACAAATGACCCTGTGCCTATTCATGATGACTGCTGCACAATGAGCCAGTTCTGCTGATTCAGTATGTTCTACTTGATCCTAAAAAGGAAAAAACAAACACTTTTAGGACTGGTAATTCTGCTGTAAACCATGGTTGTTGTTTTTTTGTTTAATACAAGAAGTCTGTTGCAGCTAGCACAGGCATGTTTTAGAAATGCTGCAAGCCTCCAAATGATTTAGATTACATTCACAGCTTTTAATTCAGGGACCTATGCACTATGCTGCTACTGCACTCCAATATCTTGACTGAAGAGGCCAGTGGTAAAGGATATGTTGCTGCTACCTGCTTACAATTCTTCTTCATTTAATTGTAAATCTACAGAATGAGGCAGCAACCGCAGTCGCCCTTGTATCCCTGATGACCTTGACTGTAATGCTAATTTATGGACCTACCACGGAAGTTAATTATTTTATATTGCAACAAGCCTTCCAAGAATAAAACCCTCACAGCTCTCAAAATCAGCATCCTTTAAATTCCATTCAGCAACTTCCCACTGATTTCTTTATTGCCAAACAACTGTTTTACCTCCAGATGAGTCCCAGAATTCTAGTCTTTCTTCACTTCCTAAAGGCTTTTACTCTATTGTCAGTATATGGCATCTACTTTCAATAACAAGGGGCATACCTCCCCAGAAACAGTTTTTACTCTCCCAAGTACAGCACTGTGTATAACATTATACATTCATTTTCATGCAACTGCATTGTAGCAGCCAAGAGAGTTTAAGATTACGACACAGCCATGCACAGTTAGAATTAACATATGACAGAACTGCCAGGAAAACAAGGACTCGGTTAAACTAATCTCATACTATAATGTGTTCTGACATTGTGTCTAACATGTTTCAATTGCTTTACTACATGTAGTACATCCGTTGATTCTTTGACACGAAAACGTAAGCTTAAAAATATTCTTACAAGACTCTAGTGAAAGGAAAAGAGCCACACACATTTCAGCTCCCCATGCACCAAAGCAACGCTCAATGTTACATTTCAATTTTCCCAGGGTTGTTTATTGTTCTTTTAAGGAACATGCCACAATAATAATTCCAGGAAACTAATGAATTGAAAAACAACACACAGAGCAGTGGTGTTTCCAAATTCAAAATAAAATTATACAGCATCATATGCTTGTAGTACTAATTCTGCATGCTTGTTGAACTTTTGGGCTTCTACACATATTCTTACTGTTGGTAAACCAAGGAGACATCCACAAATTTGGGGGAACAAGAAACCGACGTCTAGTCCACTACAACTAGGGACTTACCAAATTGATGATGACATGATTTTCACAGAAACCACAAATTTGGTAGGTCACCTGTGAAAAAGCCCAGTCCCCATGAAAAAGCAAGAAAACAGAGGTGGGAAGCCCTGGCATCCTGAAGTGGGGGGGGAGGAGGGGGGGGGGGGAGGAGGGGTGTACGGGGAGATTTTTGCAGCGGAGCACAGCATGCCCTGCCTCCCCCATGCCTCCGATTGGCTTAGGGCCCCTGGAAGTCCCACCTCTTTCTGGAGATTGACACATGGCCATCTGTCAATCTCCAGGAAGAGGTGGAACTTACAGGGGCCCTCAGCCACAGGCATGGGGGCCCACTGCACTACACCGCAAAAATGGCATCAGATGCCATGCCAAGACTGCAAAATACGGAGGCAGCTTCTGCGAATTAGGCAGGTCCTTAATTATAACCTTTGGTACTTAAATTTTACACTATGATCTTGTTTCTCACTTCCAAAGGGACCACCTCCCCGACCCATTCAACCCCTGACCTCTTTAAAAAGGAGGCCAATCAGCATGAATTCTGATTTGTGATGTCACTTTCACATGAACTGTGATCGCCAAATGAATTCCACACCAGCCACCTGAAAGCAACCAACTCTAATCATTACCAATTACAAAGCAGGTTAGAACTAAAAATATATAAGTGACAAGTTCTGTATTTGGTTATCAGTCCTCTGAAACCAGCCAGCCCATTACACAGGAAATACTAGGGGCAGGCAAAGCAACAGCTACAGGCACAAAAATCAGAGAACAGTAAAACCAATGTACCTTCTTTGATCCCTTTCTACATTTAAGAAACATTTTTTTTAAATAATTCAAGCCAGAGAAATACGCATCAGATAATTGCCATCAGTCCCCAAAGAAAATGCTTAAGATATTACCCAGCAGTCCAAAGTGCTCCCAGGGTTACATCACCCTATCTATACTGCTATTTCTTCCCAGAAAGGTCAAGCCAAAAGTCAAAGCTCACTTACAGACAGAAATGCAATATCTTTAACACATGGAGCATCTTCAAAAAGGAACAAGTAAAAACATAAAGTGTGGGGTTTTTCACTTTTTGCTTTATTACTGGGAAGGTAATTAAAAGAGAATCAGCTTTTCCAATCAAAAACATTAAAATTAAATAATGAACCTCAAACAATAACTATGAATAGCCAGTTATGACTACTCCACTGCAGAATTTAATATTCATAAGTATCACCCTCTGATAAGGAATACCATCAACTTGGGAAAAATACATTCCCATGAAAAAGCTGCACACCTAGTAAAACCAAAGATTACTATGAGTAACAGTGGGGGGAAACATCTTAACTATTCAGGCTTGTTATCTGAGCATTTTACAGCACTGTTTTGCTGATGGTTAGTTGGACTTTTTATCTTCTACACTATTGATATCATTTGGGCTGCTTTGGGAGTACCTCATGTATCCTATTCTCCCAGGCCCTGCAAGAGAACAGAAACTAAAAAGGGAAAAGGCAAGAAAGGAAGAAAGAAAGGGTAAAGAGCAGGCCCAGATGGATGAGAAGACTAGAAAGATATTCTATAAAGAAGTATTAAAAAGATGGCTAAGATATTAGATGAAAGGCATCAGATGGGAAGAAAAAGACAGAAAAGTTGAAGACGCATTAAAAAAGGAGTTTGAACCATTTTAAGTAGAGGAGAAACATGTTATGATATTTCTAGAAATAAAGACACAATCCTTATTAACACTAGGACTCCTCTACACTGCTCTGACAAGGTAAAATGACTTAAAATAGAAATAAATTACATTTGCATCCAGTTGTTAAGGTACCTGCATACTACTAGATCAGCACACAGGGATCTTAGCATGAAAGATGCTGCATAAAGAGACCTCCAGCATCATGAAAGGACAGCCAGAGAAAGATGTACCTTCTCTGGAAGCTTGTCACCTCTGGGAACAAACAGCACTCCTCCTCTGGACCTACCGCTGCCTCCAAGAAGCCCCAAGCAGCCCCTTGAAGGCTGGAACTCTGCCAGCCCACAAGGGAAAAGCTGGGGTTTCCCACATTTTTCTCCTTTAAAGACGAATCCATTTTTAAACTTTGTTCATGTCCCTTTCATATACTCTTGCTATCCATGGGTTGAGAAATGCTGGTTTAGATCACCTGTTGAAGACTGATGGGGACTAAAAGTTACTATTTTATAATAGCCATTTTGGTGGCCTCTCTCAAATTAAGTAGACTTCTTAGTCCTTTATGAAAGGGGAGTTGTCTCTACATTACCAAAAAAATAATTACACACTAGCCACCTCAGTAAAGAAGTAAAGTTGTGAAACAGACACTCCCTGTATACAAAGATCCTCCAAATCAGTCGAGGCATGCAGACAGAATGGCAAAAAGTAGCCTGAATCAATGCTCTATGTACTCTCATCTGCTCTATAGATAAACATTAGACTTCAGCTTCAGCTGCTGTCAATCTCTTACCTTTCCTGAGCACTTAATTCACTATCAAAGAGACATTCAACCTTTGTAAAGATAAAGAATAAAGTAGTTTTCATCTTGTATGTGCCAAAAAAGGAACAGCTGGTTTTACTAAATGTACATGTTAAATCAGCAATAGCTGTATCATGCCCATGAAAATCTCTGCGGTGGCAAGGACTTGAAACTAGGTCCTGAACAAGGAACTGGCATTTTTAAGATATTTTACTACCGTTTTAAATATACGAGCATGTGATCAGACACAAAGAAACCATACATCATTTAAAAAATTATTTCACTTAAAAAGAAACCTTCAGCCCAACCTCCAAATCAAACCAAGACTCTACAAATGCTTAAAAGAGTAAAAAAATCCTTGGCCCAAAAAAACTCATCCTGTAAAATATCCATGTATATTAGATAATAAAGCTCCCAAATAATTTACCAGAAATTCATATTAAAGAAATACATTTATTCATACTCTGAAAAGGTAGACTTTTCTATATCATTATGGTGCTTCCACGGTAGTTTTAGCTCCCAATTGAAAAAAATAAAAATACCTTCACATCATCAAAACCAAAAACAATTTATTGCTAACCATTTTTCAATCTTAACCTGGCAAAAAAACTGCATAGAAAACTGAAATCCAAGCAATGAAAATCTCAAGGCAGCAATGATAATGGGATCCTCCCACGTTGTGTTGATCTGGAAATGTCTGGGGACAGTCTAGGTTCCCTTCCACTGTCCCAACCACATTTATCAGCTATTCCAAATTCATAGATTAGGCTGGGTCACAGTATCAGAAAGAGCTATGAAAATACCTGGATTTTATTCGGTTTATGCAATATTTCATTAAAATGAGAAGTACTTATTTAAAAACCAATTAAAACTGAATCAAATGTAGCTATGTAAAAGAGATGTAAACTTAACTACTATTACTCCCCCTATCAACACCTAAGGAACACCAAGTATCCTTAGATTTTTTTTATCTTCTGAAGTTTGCCACTGCTTCTAATATTCAATGTAGAATAACAAAAGATTAGATAGCTGAGCAACAGGGTATACAAATTTAAGTTTTTCTCCTCGTCCTGCACAGCCAACATAGTATCATAGATGTTCCTTCTCTGTCTCTGAAAGACTGGCCTATGACTTGGTTCCTATTCAATTTTACTCTAAGTGATTCTGCAAATAAAGGAAAGCTGGATGAATCCTTACACAAGCAGAGTGCAAGTACATCTAATTTTTTCACTGATAACTGCACTTTTCCTTTAGTGCTTAGGGCTTTTTCTCCTTGTGCCATTTTAAGGCAGCTATTTTTATTGTCTCCT